ATCTCCAGATTTGACAAGTCTAGATTTTTTCCTGTGGATATACTTAAGAAATGTTGTTAACACTCAACCACCAATAACGAGAGAAAATATGAAAGAGCGATAAGATTGGCTTGGCAAAAATATTCCAAGAGGTTTTGTTGTCAACTATATGGAATTATCAACGTAGAATCAACTTAAGCTTCGAAAATAATGAACAATACTTCGAACTTCTATTGCGATAACACTTTTTTAATCTATTTAATTTATTACTTTTAGTCAGTTTTGTTTCTATTAATAAAATAATTTAAGTTATGTACTTGCACTTTCTACATTATTACAAATTGTTATACATTCAAACAATAAAAAGCATTTCTACTAGTACCATCGATCATGTTCATTATTTATTAAAACTTTTAAGCTAAAGTCGTTAATCCTAACTCTTTTCTAATATTTTTCGTACCAAAATCACAACAAATTATTTTCGACACTCCGTGCGCAAAGTGCGTTTTCCTGCATGCTTGGCAGAAAACGTGCGTTGAAAATCGCACTTTCACGTCGTATCAAATAATACGGTACGGCACATGTTCGAGAAAGAGTTTTTCGTCTCCTGTACCTTTCCACACTCGCTTCGCTCGAGCATAAACTCCACACGAGATAAGAATTTACTTTCTCGCACTTGTATCGTAATGTACTATTTTTAATATTTTTTCGCATTTCAACCTTAATTTGACCTTGGTATCGAACCTTTTTAATATCATGTCAATCGTAAAATTAACCACTCTTTTCGAATCCGGTGAATAATAATAATAATAAAAATATAAGAATTCCCATTTAAAAAAATCACTTTAACCTTCAAATGACCTTGAAATTGAAGTTCAGGATCACTAACACGACACTAAGTACATTGGTTCATCAAAAAAGATTTTCGTTATAGAAGTTTCTCATGAAATAATTATATTCGTCTATTTATATACCTTTAAAATGATGTCACGCTCCACATAAGGTCAGAAATTTGGTCTACCGCTTTGGCGTATGTAATTCTATCGATGAAGAAGCACCTTGTCCTTATCCTAGCTATTTTTAACATAATTCGATTGGCAAATCAATTCTGATTTTCTTTAATTATGTTGTGATTCTACCCTGACATACAATTAATGTGTTAGCCGGGGAAATCCCTTTCTAATTACGCAACATATAACGGGCGCGTCCTTTTCCACTAAGACGTGTATGAATGACGTATTACCATAGTAGTAGTAAAATATACGTCCCGCCCGTTCCAGGGCGCAATATAAATATCAATATAAATATTTATATATCCTACCCGTACCCGATATTGTTTACTTTTGACGTATTTATACGTCCCGCTCGGTTAACAGGTTAAGGATTAAACTACAAAATCAGAACAAAATCGAATTAATTTTATGCATAATCAGTGCAGAATTTCTAAGTTGATTAAATAGAATATCCAATTTCACTATCAGATCATGAACCTTGTTTAATTCAACTATGTTCAACTCAATTTAAGAACAACATGGCTCATGGATAGTATCAGATACCCACATGGGAGACCTGAGTTGAATTCCTGGTGGGTATCAATGGCTTTTAATTAATGATAATTAAATTATAAATTTTAATTAAATTATATGACTAAACCTATATCGTAATTCCCAAAGCAGTTCAGATTTCATGTACCAATAAACTGTAAATTTAGTAATTGGAGCATAGTTATCTATGCTTATTATAGGCTTATGTCAGAACCATAGAGACAAAAATATGACTACAATAGAATGTCATAGCCTGGTGGTTCTTGAAAAAACAGGGTACAAAAAACTCTTTTTGGCAGGATTCACATATAGGTGATGAACAATTCCCTGTTTGTCTTTAGGTCAATAGGCTGAGACATATACAATAACAAGCTAACTGTAAATTTTTATTTGAAACAAATATTACTAGTTATTTTTATTTGAAACAATTATTACTAGTTATCAATTAAATTCTAATTATACAAGTATAGTGCAAAAAATGACATTTCTGAATCATCAGGACACTTAATTCTTATTCTTGTAAAAAGCTTAAACAAAATCCGCCAATGAGATTATCAAAAAGTGACTGTACGATGAGAGAAATTTGATATTAAGAAAATGGCAAAGGCCATATATGGGTAATTCTAGGCTATTTCGATTGACTTGTAACCCTTAGGTTACGGATTTTTTTTTAATTTGGCACAATTGTTGTACACATAAAACTGAGATTTTTCCCAAATTTTGGAGACGATACATTAATTATATCAAAAGTTATTAACAATTAAAGAAAAATGATAAAAAATTTTCAAACAGCTATATTTTAAAAACTAATAAAGATATCGAAGTCGGATTTTTTTCAAAATACTTATAATGCCTTAAAATTTCGAAATAATTACAACAATAAACAATAAAAATTTTTTTTCGAAAGTTATTAACTTTTTGTTTAAACAATTGCTAATATCTCAAAAAGTATATTTTTTTTTTGAAAAATTCTTGCTCCTACGTATTCCTGAGGATTTTTGCTATCGAAATCAATCATAAAATTCAAGGGCCCGACATATCGGAAAGCGTAGCCCTAATCAAAAGAAGACGCCTCGGCGTAAGGCTGCGGTAGCGCTCCAGCGGACTCACGGTCGAAAGGTACTTTAGCTTTAATCTAAAAAACTAATAAAGATACCGAATTGGAGTTTTCCCAAATTACTTATAATACCTTGAACTTTCAAAATAATTACAACAATAAACAATAAAAATTTTTTTTCGAAAGTTATTAACTTTTTGTTTAAACAATTGCTAATATCTCAAAAAGTATATTTTTTTTTTGAAAAATTCTTGCTCCTGCGTATTCCTGAGGATTTTTGCAATCGAAATCAATCATAAAATTCAAGGGCCCGACATATCGGAAAGTGTAGCCTGAATCAAAAGAAGACGCCTCAGCGTAAGGCTGCGGTAGCGCTCCAGCGGACTCACGGTCGAAAGGTACTTTAGCTTTAATCTAAAAAACTAATAAAGATACCGAATTGGAGTTTTCCCAAATTACTTATAATACCTTGAACTTTCAAAATAATTACAACAATAAACAATAAAAATTTTTTTTCGAAAGTTATTAACTTTTTGTTTAAACAATTGCTAATATCTCAAAAAGTATATTTTTTTTTTTGAAAAATTCTTGCTCCTGCGTATTCCTGAGGATTTTTGCAATCGAAATCAATCATAAAATTCAAGGGCCCGACATATCGGAAAGTGTAGCCTGAATCAAAAGAAGACGCCTCAGCGTAAGGCTGCGGTAGCGCTCCAGCGGACTCACGGTCGAAAGGTACTTTAGCTTTAATCTAAAAAACTAATAAAGATACCGAATCGGAGTTTTCCCAAATTACTTATAATACCTTGAACTTTCGAAATAATTACAACAATAAACAATAAAAATTTTTTTTCGAAAATTATTAACTTTTTGTTTAAACAATTGCTAATATCTCAAAAAGTATTTTTTTTTTTTGAAAAATTCTTGCTCCTACGTATTCCTGAGGATTTTTGCTATCGAAATCAATCATAAAATTCAAGGGCCCGACATATCGGAAAGCGTAGCCCTAATCAAAAGAAGATGCCTCAGTGTACGTCGCAACGACAGCAGGACGTCTTCGTGGTCTTACGCTGAGGCGTCTTCTTTTGATTAGGGCTACGCTTTCCGATATGTCGGGCCCTTGAATTTTATGATTGATTTCGATAGCAAAAATCCTCAGGAATACGTAGGAGTAAGAATTTTTCAAAAAAAAAATATACTTTTTGAGATATTAGCAATTGTTTAAACAAAAAGTTAATAACTTTCGAAAAAAAATTTTTATTGTTTATTGTTGTAATTATTTCGAAAATTCAAGGTATTATAAGTAATTTGGGAAAACTCCGATTCGGTATCTTTATTAGTTTTTTAGATTAAAGCTAAAGTACCTTTCGACCGTGAGTCCGCTGGAGCGCTACCGCAGCCTTACGCCGAGGCGTCTTCTTTTGATTAGGGCTACGCTTTCCGATATGTCGGGCCCTTGAATTTTATGATTGATTTCGATAGCAAAAATCCTCAGGAATACGTAGGAGCAAGAATTTTTCAAAAAAAAAATATACTTTTTGAGATATTAGCAATTGTTTAAACAAAAAGTTAATAACTTTCGAAAAAAAATTTTTATTGTTTATTGTTGTAATTATTTCGAAATTTTAAGGCATTATAAGTATTTTGAAAAAAATCCGACTTCGATATCTTTATTAGTTTTTAAAATATAGCTGTTTGAAAATTTTTTATCATTTTTCTTTAATTGTTAATAACTTTTGATATAATTAATGTATCGTCTCCAAAATTTGGGAAAAATCTCAGTTTTATGTGTACAACAATTGTGCCAAATTAAAAAAAAATCCGTAATCTAAGGGTTACAAGTCAATCGAAATAGCCTAGAATTACCCATATAACTTATAGTAACAGAAACTATAATCCTTAATAAATTAGACATTTTATGGTATACCTTATTTTTCTAATACTTTTTCAGATCATTACTTAATATTTAAGTAATGTGTGGTACATAATGTATAGTACACAACCGTGTTACACATTACGTTTTGAAAAAGCATTAATAACAATAATGAAGATTATCACATGTAGTTTATGAAGTTACAAATGCAAGATGATTGACAAATATTTCACATAAACTATAAATGTTAAGTATAATATTTTTTTTATAGAGGCTCAAATTTCCTTTGCCATCCTCTTAACAAAATGACAATTTCATTGTGTAAGTAAACTTTAATGAAATCTTCATTTACCAACAGCAAACTATATTTCATTACACATCAATCAAACTGTAATAACTAAATCACAATAAGTCAGATTAAAATGTAAATAAAAATTTATGTCATGTCAGAACTTATATAAGAATTGCTTATCTTATATATTATCAATAGGTATTTTGTTAATAATCTAGTCAAATTATACATTATTATGTAACATAATTAACTTACTAATCGGTGCTCTCTTCTAGTAAGATCATTTCCTTGCAAAATTCTCCATATTAGTTTTATAGACACTTTCATATCCAATCCCAATAACCTGAATCCATGATAATAATGTAAAAGTTCAGCTTTAATTTTTTGCCAAAGTGTTTGTTTCTTATACAAACTATTTTCTGAAATATTAACAAAATTTTTTGTTACAATAACTTCAGATTTATTCTTCTTATTCTCTTCCTTAATATTTTTAATAGTTTCTTCAACTTTCGAAGATGCTTCATGAGTTCTCACAATAGATCCAATATATAACAATCGATATTGTTGCAACTTAGATTTATGGTCTATTTGTTTTGAAGTACAGAAAACATCAATAGTTCTGTGGTACAATGGAAATAGGTTTTTATCCGTAAAATATATATTTCTGAAATAACAACCTATTGAAATGACGAAAATTAATAATTATTATTAACATTATAATATATGCTGAAAATATGGCTTTATCGAGATTAAAACTACTTATATCAATAGATCATGATTACAAACATAATAGACATAATCGAATCAATTTTGCAAAATAATTGATTCTATATGACACCTATACAAGAATTTAAATCTTGTAATGTGATTTTTGCAAATGACTATTAAGATTACAAATATTTGAAAAAAAAATTTAAATCTTTATAAGAATAACATTTCATTTCTTTATCTTTCATTTCATAGAAACACGTATAATTTGTCAGATTCAGTATTTGAATTATAGTAAAAGTAGAATAAAATAATCACAATGAAACTATGTTACTCTTGATAAAAATATCATGTTAAATTTTTTTAAATTTTTATAACATAGAAATGAATAATTGACTATAAAAAATTTATCATTGTTACACTGATGGCAGAAACTATGTTAATTTATATTAAATACTAAAATAATTTTATGCAGTGCTTCGAATAAACAATTACATGTAAAAAAATTATTTAAATATATTACATACGTTTAATTCCATTAACGTGTGATGATATTGATTTAGATCTAATTGAATAGTACATGTCTAAATATTTGTATTCTTTTTTGTTGTAATTTAGTAATTATATTTTTCCAAAAAAAAAAACCATCTAGAAAGGCCATCAGAATTATATGTTTAACCTGAAGTTATTAACAATTTATCATCATAATTTTTGGTGATTATACGGTTGGTGATACACTAAATAAATAAAACCCTCTGTGAATAAATTGTGAAGCGTCAATAGTAAAAGGATGCACAGACTTTTAAATTTAGAACATAGACTCAGAGTTGCCACTGAAAAATTTTTCTCAGGGGCCCTAGAAATATGTCATGTTGATACCTGACGTATCACACGAGCTTATAGCATATACGTTTAGATATAAGTCTGTATATGTACACGTATTTATACCATAAAAATAATTTTGTATCTACTGATGTAAATGTTACGTCGAGGACGAGTCAGACTATTTTATAGCGGTAAAATTTGAATTTTTTATGGAAGGGGAGTTCCCGTAATTATAAGTAATAGTCATTTAATAGCTGACTTTAATCTCAGTGACGCACTTACCCCTTCTGGGATTAATCCTTTATTGATTAGTTTTTATGTATTTTGGTATTTTGTACTATAAAAGAGGATGCAAAACAATTGTAACGAACACTATGTATTCAACTCTGTAACACTACGCACCTTCTGTAATTTGATCAATAAATATTTTAAATCTATTTCTATAATAACTTATTTGAGAGTTATACCTAATCTACGTTACATTTCTGACTTCTGAGGTACGAGTTTCTGGATCAGTTAAACTGAAGGTAAATTATTTAATTATTACTTTTTCACTCGGTAATTTAGATATGTTGCCGATCTGCTTTCGTTTGAGTCTCGCACCCATGGTAAAGCGCTTACGCATTGACCGAAAAAAGACAGTCGCGTTTGAGTAATTCTTGTCAGTTTGCGGCCGTTACGTGAGACGTAACAATTGGGGACCCCTCCGGGTAAAATTTTTTTAACGAAAAGCAAGATTAGGCAGAAGTAAATTTTTTTTTTACAAACATGGCTACGGGAGTCGATTTGAGAGACAAACGAAATGAGGAAGCACTATTAGTTTTAAGAAACTGCATAGGAAAAGTAGATCCGAATTTTATCACTAGTCGAGAACCAACTTTACTAGAAAGTATAAAATTTCTGCACGCTCGTCAAGTTTTAGATTTTGAAATAGAAGGCAAAAAACAACAACTAGAAAAATTAATAACAATTTTGGAACATTATATAAATGAACATCTAATAAGGAATTCATGTCAAGATCCACTTTTACTACTCATTGTAGAAGAATTAACAAAACGTAATATAAGTCCAAAAGAAATTTTAGTAGCAGTAATTCGTACTGACAAACTAGTACAATTTGAAAATAAATTTGAACCAATAATTGAATCAAACGCGGAAATAAGAGAAGACGAGTCAAGGGAATATTTCCAAGCTTTGACAAACTTGACAATTGACAATGATAACGAAGACGAAATAAATAAAATAAGAAACGAAATTCCTCTTATAAATCATAAAAACGTTAAATTTTTAATACCAAAAATTACTGAAAAAAGTCAAAACGAGAAAAGTAGCAATTCAGAATACTTTACGCCAAAGTTAACATATAGATTGTAACGGAGAATTCCGGCCATACCCGTCTGGGTTGCTCGCGACCGTCCGTACAAATTATTTATTCGGGGATTCGGGAAGCAAAAGACGTTTCCACGACTGAATAACGCGTCGAGCACAACTACGTTAAACGCACAGATTCAAGATCGGAATGAGGAATGATACAGCGGCGAATAAACACAACAGCGGATTAATACACTAGTCTTTTAATTGTCAACAAACGAGTACAATACGGCGGCCTCGGACTTATACACTACGAGCGGCACAATAACAAACGCGAACGCGAAGGTGAATCGGTGGCTGGTCAGCCAGCCGATTTCCTTGTAAAACTAAACGTTACAATATATGCCCGACAAACACTTTCCGCCGATAGTCTACCAACGGGTAGCCAGCAGATCTGCCGTGCTATCAGTCATAAGCTGGCGCCCAAACATGCAAGAGAGAGAGAGAAACAAGAGGAAAAACACGGCACCGACCTCGACCTTCAGCCTCTCCGACGGCTAGAGCGCTCCGCAGTATGACGTCACTGGTGTGCTCCTCGCTGACCGTCTTGCTGATGTTTATTGTCGTAGCTGTTTGTCTTCTTACTCGTCCTCTCGCTCGCTCCACAATATTACTGCCCCAATCCGTTGTTTCGCTCGGTGATTACTGCTGTCGTCGTCTTCGTCGCACCTCTGTTGCTCGGTACTGCAGCACGTCTAAACTGCACGCACGCGCACTCGCGCACCTCGCCGGTTACCCACACGCACCGGTGCCGGGTATCTCTCGGGACACGGCTGGGCGCGACCCAGCCTCACACTTAAATACTCGTCTGCGCACCGGGCGTGTCTTCGAAAATGAAAAGACGTCAAAGAGGTCGCGGGGCCAGCTTCGGAAAAACCGTAACCTTAGGTTTTATCCGCGCACGCGACTTCCTTTGCCCATAGCTTAGCAGCGACTTCCCCGAACTTTTCCGCGGCGATCTCCAATTCGAACGCTCTCTCTCTCTCTCTTCTTCTGCGCCATCTCCATCGCTCCAGTCGTCAGCTTAGCCCGTGTTCAGCACCTCGTAAACAAAAGGTCCAAGCATGAGTGTGTGTACCAAACGCACACACTCTCAGCCTGGCGCGGCGCACGGACATTTGCGAGAGTCAAACGGACAAGATCGGCATAACCGAGATTCTCCGTTACAAAATCATTTGCCAGCACAAGACCGATTTACAGTACAAAATTCCACAATTAGCTCTTCGAGAAATGTAGGTTTGAAAAATATCGTAGATTTCATTCCTAAATACGATCTAGCAAGATTAGTTAAAATGAGATTATACGGGTATGCATTAAAAAGTATGCGTGGAAAGCATTTTGAGACAATTAGCGAGATTGAAATGTATTTAGATCACCTTTTCGGATCGGACAAAACTTTCAACCAATTATCAGGTGAGCTAGCTATGCTCAAGCAAAAAGCCTCAGAAAATCTAGTAAAATTCTCAAACAGATTTAAAACAGTAGCGCGAGAATTAGTAAGCGCAGCAGTGCGCGAAAAAAGATATAATGTTGGATTCTTAAATCAATTATAAAAGGATAAAGTCAAGTTTTTCATCAGCGGCTTACACTGGGTGATTAAAGCGCGAATGGAACAGGCAAAAAATCTCGAAGAAGCAACAGCAAAAGTGATAGAGATTGAACGCGATTTCGCAACACAGGAACCCAACGCTCTCAACCAGATAGTAAAAGTACTTGCAGAAGCAGAAAAAGAATTAGCAAACATTAAAAGTGTAAAAGTAGTAGAAACACAGAACTTGCAAATATGTCAAATTTGTAAGTTGTCAAATTATTTAGCAGATACGTGTTTTTACCGTAACAATGGCAGTACAAAATTTAGAAATAAAAGATTCAATAGTAACGAAGGCCAAAAGCAAATGAATAGTTGAAATTCAGCCAATAGAGAAAGAATGAGCCAGCAAATAGCTCCGCTCCAAACAAATCAGAACTCTGCATCAAAAATCAATACCAGAGAAATTTTAATTCTAGTTATTACGGACCAGGAAATCCAAACAGAGATCCAACTATTTGTAATTATTGCGGTATTAAAGGTCATTGAAAAATAAGATGTAACAAAAGCATTTTTAACGAACAACAGAAACAACAGGGAAATGCCGGTGGTTTCCAGGTGAAAGGCCCTATCGGGGAAATGACTAGCCAAACGGAGCGCCGAGCTTAACCCATTAACCACCAAAATGCTCAATTTTTTTGTCGATTTTTAACGCGTTTTTTTCGGTAGTCATAGGCCTAAGAAATTTTTGCAAACTCGTATTTGGATGGGAAATTTAACGCTCTTTCAGAATCTTTTTTCAAAATTGCGATTGATTGCGTTATAAAAAAGTTATAGCCAATTAAACAATAAAACCTGAAAAATTTTGCGAAAAATCAAGTTTGCGATTTTTTTTAGCAATGTTACCGCTAAAAAATCATCAAACAAATATGACCAGAGGTGATCACGAGTATCAAAGTATCTCCAGGAATTTTGGTGGAATTTTTGAACCACTTCTTCCAACAAAATGGTGGCAAAATAAAAAAAAATCCATAAAAAACATTTCTCATTTTTTATCTCAGAAATCATTAAGTTTAGGTGAAAAGTTCATTGAACAAACAAGTCTTAGAATTAAACGAGAAATAGGCCTGAATTTTTTCAGAATTTTCCGAGGCAATTTTTGAATTTTCGGAGAATACGGAAAATCCATTTTTCCAAAATCATCTCCAAAAATTCTGAAAAAATTTATGCGTGTTCCTTGATAAATTCTAAGACTTTTTATTCCATAAACTTTTTCTCCAAACTTAATAATTTTCGAGATAAAAAGTGAATTAGGTTATATAATCCTAGCAGCGTTAATATTTTTGATACAGAATAAAGAACAACCATTCAACAATAATATAATAATGTTTTGCCTTTTTATGTGTATATCAGTGCAGTTTGTGTAGCGTATACTAATATACACATATCAAAAAAGCAATTCAGAAAATTGTATGTGAGCTCATTTTTATTACTGACTAGTCTCTTGTTATTGTGAGACCAAACAGTAAATCGAATCGAAAAGATTATTTTCGCTTTCTAAAGTCTAGGTTTGACAAGAACCATTGAAAACTGTAGTAATTATTTTCATTAGGTAATTTTATTATTTTATATAACATGTCGCAAAAACGTAAAAGACGTTCCACTCGCTCCCATGAAATGTACGAAATTGATATTTCAAATAACACTTACGATGATATAGTTACCCTTCCAAATCCTGACAATTCTGGTTCTGATGGATAAGATTTCGATACTGATTCGGATGATGAAATTTCTAATATAACGTACACAGAAGCTTGTAAAACATATACTGAAACTCAAACTAAATTAGAAAGAACTCATGAACTCCAGTGGATGGAAGGAGAAAAAAAGTATAATGATAATTATTTGAAAGACAAAATTTTATTGAAAGACTCCGTAAAAAATAAAATACAAGAAATGGAGCCAGTAGAACTGTTTGAAACATTTTTCTCAACTGAAATGAAGCAATATATTATAGATGCTTGCAAAGAA